ACTAATACAATCTACTCCTGCTTTATGAAAGAGTCACGTAATATAGCTTAATTCAAAATGAAACGTGGTCTATCATATCACGTAATATAACTTGATATCAAATAATTGAGCGTAATCTGTTCACCTTATGACACTGTTACACGTGAGTGTATTTTGCGTGTAATACACAAAATACAGCTCAATTCTTCGTGTAATGCAATTAGTTTCACGAATGTAAAACAATTTAACATTTTTAGACAGCATAATACAAATAAAATATATTATAATTGTTATATGAATAAAAACTTAAAATCAGTATAAATAAAGAAAAATAAATAAGTTTTGTAGCAAAAAAGCTGAAAAATATCAGTGGATGAGCTGAGATAGTTATGAATCATAGTGATATTTTAAAAAGTAATGTTACGTGAAAGCAAAGGGATTTCTTCCAGCTATGTAACAAGTAATCCTTTACTATTCTTTTCAAACTTTGGAATAAAGTTGTTCACAGTAGTTAGAAAAAAGGAACAAATCACTGTTATACTACCATTTACTGACTTATTTCACGTACATAATTCATAAATTATATATTAACGTATAAATATAATTTTACTTCATTTTCACGTACCACAGCTTAATTATTTGTACGATGTGATTCATTACATAGTGATTCTATTAGTGTATAGCATGATTAAACACATCTTTTGTACTTTACGTGTAAATACTTTCATAACATCACGTAACAGCTACTGCGTTGAGTGAAATTAATTTGTGCAACTTAAAAGTTTAATTAGTGATATAACAGATGAAATAAAACAAATACAAAAATTACATTGAAAATTAAAATTTTTTAAATAAAACCTATACTAATGTTAACACATATAAATATAATTTCATATTTAATTCAAATTCTCAGTATATTATCACTAGCTGTGAAAAAATTTTAAATTAAACAAAACAATTGAAGCACTAATTAATCTAATTAAATACAATGCATTTAGACTGATCTCAAAGTGAAATTCTTCTCTATATTTTATCCCAAACTTTCCATACTTTAAAAAGTATTTTATAGTCTAAACTCTAACAAAAATTTATAGCAAATGTTTGTTAAAAGTATTCAGTACTAAGTGAGTGCGAAGTTCTTCAAAATATAAAGTTATGAATAAAAAATGAAGACACAATCACTTGTTCTGAGGAAAAAAATTTCAAAAATTTAGTAATAAAAAGTAAAAACTTTTCAATCTTCCGTAAAGCCAAAAATTTACGTGAATACTACTTCGACTACAGCGAGTCTATAAATCTATGCTAATTTGATAGCACAAATAAAATTTGCATAATTTAATAAAAAATAAAATAAGAACGATGAAAAGTATTCTAAAAATAGTCAGTTTGTTAGTTTTCATGCTTACTTCTTGTCAGGAAATGATCTAGAATTGATAAGATTGACATAGAATTGGCACGAAATGATTAAAAAATATATTGTATGAATCAGAAAAAAGTATGACATTGATCTAAGCTAGGCTATAATCAATTAGCTAGGAAGAAATTTCAACCAATTAATTAGCTGAAATGAAATTTAAAAGTAATTTTTATTAACTTGTAACTTCATTTTTAAAAATAATTAATAAATTTTTTTTTTTAAATGATAATTCAAAAAGGCAAAAAATGAAGCAATTTATTATTCTTCATATTCTTAAATTATTATTTTGTTACTTGCAAACATATCATTTATTTTCGAGAGATAAGAATAGATAAAATCAGTGAAGTAATTTTTTATTTTTTATTCTCAAAAAAGTATTAAACAAAATGAACATATTTTGCATTAATTACTAAAATAAATGAAAAATTTGATAAGAAAATCAAATTTTAGTGTAAATAAAGTAGGCTTATCCCAATATAGGATAAGAATAGAACGATAAAATAGAAATGTATAAAAAAGTAATTATAAAGTAATAAGGAAAGTAAGTAAGTATATGTGAGAGTAAATTGAATGCAAAATGTATTCTTGAAAATGTGATGTGATGTTTGCTAGTGAGGGTGCTGGAGTGCCGCTGAGATGAATGAAATCCATTGCAACCAGAGAAAAGAAATTACTGGAAATGATGACTGAATGAATGAATGAATGGATGAATGAGTGAATAGATGAATGAATGAATGAATGGATGAATGAATGGATGAATGAATTGATGAATGGATGAATGGATGAATGAATGAATGGATGAATGAATGGATGAATGAATGAATTGATGAATGAATGAACTGATGAATGAATGAATGAATGGATGAATGAATGAATGGATGAATGAATGAATGGATGAATGAATGAATGAATGCAAGGATGAATAGATGGATGAATGGATGAATGAGTAATTGTTTTCAACTCTGCTTCATTCTTAAAAGTTAAAAAGTTTGCTTCAAAATATTAGTTAGCAAAAACGATGAAAATTGTTATTTGCTTTCATTACACTTTGAAAAAAATATGCTTTACAATACTAAACTAAAGAAATCAGATCAATTTCTTTTTTTTTTTTTTTAAATATTCAGATTTGATTTAATTCAAATTGGGTTTGATTTTTTTAATATGATTACATAAATTATTCATTTTTGATAAATTGATAAATCAAATAAGATTCAAATGTTTTAAATCATTGAATGAATGAACTGATTAGTACATTAATTAATTATAGATGAATAAGAAAAGAATGAATAATATTAATTAATAAGAAAATATTTTTATTAAACTTTCAATTACATTTGCATGCATTAATTATTGCAACAAAAAAAATCTTGATTTAGTTCAGATCAGATCTGAATCATACCATGTGTCAAATCAAATTTTAGTGGGTAAATGTGGCAGTGTTTGAATGAATGAATCGATAATTGATTGAATTTATTCTAATCTTTTCTACAAAAGATGCAAAGCTGTAGCAGTAAATAAATTCAAGTCAAACTAGTTAAAGTTAGATTACACTAAGTTGTCTTCTTAAAGATCAACTGAGATCAGATGAGATTGATTTGAACTGAATTGTAATACTTTAATCGAACGAATTGATGAATGAATGAATGAATGAATGAATGATCTCAACTAAACTGAAATGATAGTAATTAGCGGTAGTAGGAGAAAGAAGCAGAGAGCACAGCAGCTGCTTCTTACAACATCTCTCCCTCATCCGCAAATAAAGCTACTCCTCCCTTTATAATAAAATATGCGCACGAAGCACTATGAATTAATTTTTTTCTCCCATCTTTCTACTTTTTTCACGTCATTTTACGCTTACGTAAAATACGTATAAAGTGAATTAAGTGCATTGTGGAAATAATTTGCAGTAAGTAGCTACTAAAATATATACAAAATGATTATAAGTTCAGATCAGATGTGAACTAAATCAAATATCAAGTCAAATTTCAGTGAGTAGATGTGTCAGTACTTGAATGATTTGATATTAGTATTATTTTCCCTCTTTTTTTCAGCCTGGACAAATTAATATTTCAGTGTAATTTAGACCTTCAAAAAATAAAGTTTAATTTTTTCGCACTTTTAAAAAAAATTAAAATTCTTACATTCTACATTTATTTTTAGGTAGAATCCAATGATTTATGGTTAATATTCAGTTTGATTTTGAATCTTTTTCTTTTTTTGAATACTTACGTCATTTAACTCAATGTTAGTTACGTAAGACGATGAAAATATTTGTGAATCATTTTCAAAATTTCCGTTACATCGTTATTGTCAGCATCATCTGTTTGATTTTGTTTTGAAAAAGCAGAATTTTTGAATTAAAAAAAAAGACGCCATCTGTTAAAGTTTTGCGCAAAGCTTTACGCTAAAAACGTGTACGCCAGTCATTTTTCTCATCTTGAATTGTGATGAATAATATGAATATTTAATAATAAATTCTTGTGATTATTTCTCAAGTTATCATTATTTCGCCCTATTTAATCATTAGTAATATCGGTTCATAATTATAATTATCATTTGTAGGCAATTAATAACGAATTAATTTAAATGATGGTATTGAGTAGTTAAGTTTTATCAGACAATTCAAACAAGGGATTAAAAACGTTCAAATATATCAAAATGAATATAAACAGTAATCTGAATGAACAAGTCAGTAGTACTTGTTAGCATATCCGATTTTTTTTTTGAAAAAAAAATTAAAAACGAAAAAAATTTAAACTTATATATTTCTGCAGCATTTTTATATTTGCTTACATATCTCTGCTATTTATATTTGATATCTTTTTAATATTTAATATTAATATTTATTTTTTGTCCATTATTTTTATTACATTTTTAATATTTTTATTTTATTCATATTTATTAACACTAAACTCTAAATTTAGCACATATTTTCAATTGTTTTTGAAATTAATTTATAATTCACTTTCCGACTAATTATTCATATTTGAATTTAAACTAGATTTTAAGATCTATTTTTGTGAAACATTTTTGATGTTTATTGAAATACTTATTCACTGATTACTGCCCGCCATTTGATGCTACCTTTAAGGAAACCAAGCAAATTAAGTATTTTTTCCCAACTTTTAGAATTAAATATTTGAGTATTTTATTTAATTATTAAAAATAGTTATTGATGTAACTGTTCACTATTAAAATATCTACTTATCTCAATCAGTAATCAGAAATAGACACTAATTATTATGTATGCATAAATAAATGAAGCGCAAATGACTGAATAAAAATTGTCAGCAAAGTTCAGACTTAAATATTCAATTTTTAATGATCGCAATGGTGTATTTTTATCATTAAAAATGTGATTAAGCACTGATAAATTGAAAAAACTTTTTATTTATTTAATAACAGAATTTCAGATTGCTGTCTTCGCGCATCTTCAATTTCTTCAACAATTCGTTTTGATAATATCACTTTTATTTCTGTAATTACCGTATTAAAGTGTTACAGAATATTATATTTGGTAGAATTATCAGTACTTCAAATAACTTGCTAATTATTAAACTTTCAATCAAAAAGTATGGATAAGTAAGAAAATATCAATAATTTGTTATATTTTGAGTTTTGATAAGAAATTAAATCCAAAAATTGAATTACCATTTCCTCTATTATGATAGCATACAGCATCATCAGATAATGTTCCTGTAGCAATTGGTGGAATCATATTTGTACCAGCTAGGATAGAAATTAAGAAACGCTGAAACTCACGCACGTTTGGGAGACACGGACTGTCTACGTCACTGACGACTGAACTATACCTTAACTAAAATAAAGAAAGAGCTAAAGCTTCCTTACTTTCTGCAATTATTCATACTAATTCATTTGTAGACATATCAGTCATTAGCAAATATTAATTTTCAAGTGCCTATTTTATTATTATTTTATTAATTGTAAAAAATTGAATTCTTTAAACAAATTTTTAATCAAATGAATTTTTAATTAAAAAATATTCTAATAGCATTTTTGATAATAAATTATTGTAAAAAATTAAAGTCTTTAATTTTATATGCTAAATGCTAAAGAATATAATATCTCAACAATAGCAAATAACTTGAAAATCTTCAAATATTTTGCACAAAAAGTAATTTAATTAAAAGATTGAAAGTAATTTGAAATTCATCGTTACTATTTCTAAAATAAAAGCGCATATTTGTTTTCAAATTTTTCTTACATAAATAAAATTAATTGAAAATTACGCAGTCTTATTTGTGGTACTGTGGAATGTGCGAATATTTTTAAAATTGTTAACATATACTTTGTTGAAATAAACTTTTCCAAAAATTATTGGCGCTAAAATGAAAAATTACTTAGAATTTTTATTACCCGAGGATATTTAGTATTTAATTCTTTCACCATATTAGCAATTCTATTCAGTGAGTACATTTCATCTTTAATGCTACTCCACATTGAACTGAAAACCACAATTTTATAGTAATAATAATAATAATAATAATTTGTTATCATTAAAGTAATAATAATTATTATGATTTTGATTATTATTATAGTTAAAAAATTTTTTCATTAAGCGTATTATTTCAAGTTTGACCAAAATTAAACGTAAAATCAATAATCGCACTTAAATCTGCGAAATGCCATTTTTTGAAAAAGTAATCATAAAAAGGTCAAATAAAAACTATCAATATTATTTGCATTATTTCTTTAATATAAATGTTAATATATTAATGAATTATTTTTTGATGTAAATTTGATATTTATATCAGAATCGCCACAAACGTCAATAACACGTCGCTGTATCTATGTAAGAGACCACCAACAAAAAATCGCCCTGCTGAAGCATACCTAAAAGTTTTTAGAATTTTCCAAATTGTTAATTAATTAGAAATTTAAGCAAAAAGTTTTCAAATACACTTAACCAATTTAATTTTAAGTCAATATAAATAATTTTTGTGCCATATTACTCAATATTATTATTATTATTATTGTTATTATTATTATTATTATTTAAAAATTTTTTTCATTGGAAGTATTATTTCAAGTTGGACCAGAATTGAAGAGATATGTTTTTTCATATTATAAACTTTATATTTCAGAAAAATATTTACCACTTGCGTCGATTCAAATTTTGAGTTTTTCATTTCGTTCTTAGTATACTACGTTTTTCTGATTTCAGTTCTAATAAAAGAGTATGAATAAAAGCTGACCATAAAGTTAATGAATCAGGAGTATGTCCAGGCGTGTGAAGTACTTCTATCTGGTCACTGTCTTGATCCCCAAGCTTAATAACCTCTTCATCCGACAACCATTTTGTCACTTTATACGGTTTGACCTAGGTTATTATTGCAAAAAAATTATTCCTAAAGTTGTTCTTAAGCTATTTTATAGAAAATAGCAAATGCGTAAGCAAATATTTCTCATAGATATGCTAAATAGGAAATTGGACATTCAAAAAGCAAAGAAAATCATTTTCGACTTCAGGCAAAGTGAAGTTATTTTTTGACGGCTATGAGAAGTGCGATAAAATAATGTTTAAAAAAAGATTTTAAAAAAACATTTTTTTTAAATTTCATAAATATTACAAAATACAAAATGAATGGTTGAAAAATGCATATTTAAAATTCATATTACTACAAATTTTTGTTTAAATTCAAAGTCTACGTAACTTTGTAATATTTTGAAGTAAAGACGATGAAACCTGCCAGTCATACTGATTATCGTGAAGATTTGTATAATACGAATTACGATTTGATGCGCATAAAGCTTCTACATTATTTGCAAGACCACCAAATCCAACAGGAGAAAATTGCCAGTTATTACTTATCTTAAGCTTATCATACTTATCATACAACTTAAGCTTATCATTAAAGCTAAGTAATCATATAAAATAATTAACTTAAAAAATATGTAATTCAAAGTAATGCTTGATATTGATTTATGCTAATTTTTGATGATAAATTTAAGTAAACTGGTAATATTATCATTTATGATTGAAAAATTCACCTGCTCAGGATGGTTATGAGTGTTCACTACTACAAGAGATTTCTTCTGCTTTACAAATCCAAAATAATCTTCCAAATACTTATATAAATTACCTGTTCCACATCCTGTATCCAAAAGTAGTGCTATAAAATGTATCATTTAAAATTATCCCTTTGTTATGCATAAATCTCTCATTAGTTATTTAATAATTAAAATAATTGAATTAAAAAACATGTATGAAGTGCGAATTTTTCTCGAATTCTTCTAGATATTATTTATTTAGCGCAAATATTATTTACTTAGTGAACTAACTGACATAAGTTAATTTATAAGTACGAACGTTAATGAAAAGTTATAAATTAGAGCAGTTTGTTATCTAAAATATTTAAATAAATAATATTCTTAATTACTATGTTATCTTAATTGCTATATTAAAAATATAGTAATTAAGAGTTAGTAACATAAATAAATAATATCTAAATAAAGTAAATATTAAAAATTTTTACATATTAAAAAAAACTTTCCCTCACATTTAGACATTACTTAGTGGCAAATTAATTTAAAAGTTTGCTTAAAAATTTGCATATTTTTAATTCAAACTTAATACTTCAATTAACATTTTGCATTTAAAAACAAATGTTTGCTGTTTTTCATATCATCAAATTTTTGAATAAACTTGCCTTTTTTAGTACCAATAATCAAATACATGAGAGGATTATGATTACAGTAATCCTTTTCATGAATACAGAAAATATTGATTGCTAACTGCTCTATTCGGTAAGGTTCTTGTTTGTCAGCCATTTGTGAGGAATTTCTGGATCAGAAATTTATGAGATTACTGTATTTCTAAAAATTTTTTGAAAAATAACAATAAAAACAAAAACAGAAATTAATTATGATAGCAATACAATAGCTCATAACAGTCTCAAAAAAGTTAAGCTTTCACTTTACATTTTCAGAGAAGACTTAAATTTTTCGTCAAAACTGGAAATTAGATACTGAATTACCGAATATGCGAAATAAACAAATTTGTATTATCAGTCTTGTTTTCTGTTCAAGGGATTCAAAGCTGAGAAATTTTAGTTACGAATTATTAAATTTTTGCTACAGTTATTTAATATCTAAAAGTGTTCCAAATATAGTTTTTCAATAGTCGTTGATGCACTAATTGCAACTGTATTATCGAATTAATTCAAAATTAGTAATTGTAATTCGAAACTGAAATAAATAATTATTTTGGAGTTAAGATAAATTTAAAAATTTGATCTAAAGAAAGTTAATAAAAAAATAATGAAAATAAAAACAACTTGAATTTTATCAAATTATGACATATTTAATTCTTCTTTTTGCATTTTTAAACTTCCACTTTATTCACTTTTTAAATTTAACTATTTTGCAAGAATATTTTTTCTCGAATTTTTAAATTTCAAACTTTTAAACACCGAACTGTGCGAAAATCTAAAATCAAATCAGATATATTTATTCATATCTATATATAATTTCTTTACAATCAGTCAAATCTTTTCTTGGTAATTTAAATCAAACGTTGATTCGAATTACTGTTTTAAAATAATCATTTATTATATTTTACTGAGATTTATTTGAATTAAATTAAATTTTAATAATTAATATAGCTCTTTCTTCACTTTTACAAAAAATGGCAACAAATTTTCAAAAAAAAATCCCTTAAAAGTTTTTAAATATAAAGTTTTAGCTTGCTTGAAAGTACTAATATATTAGTTATATAAAAATTATTATTTTTTGTAAATAGCATTAAAGTTTCAATAAATGCAAGACAAATAATATAGCATTCATTGTAAGAGTTGATGGAAATGAAAGGAAATGAATTCTCGAAAAGTTTAAGTATACTGCAAAAGCATTTAGCTAACCTAAAAGTAATGCATTTTTAAGCACAAAGTGAAAAGTTTAGACTAAATATAATAATTTGCTAAAAATTATGTTGCTAAAAGAATAAAATAAGTTTTAGTTGCTAAGAATTTATAAAATAAAGTGAAACATTGATTCTTTTTTGGTTGTTGAAAAACGAATATTCAAATATTCAATTCTGAATATTCAAATATCAAATTCAAATATTCAATAGAAATTCAAACATTCAGTTCTGTTTGTTTGTTTGATACTCAATCTTATCAGAGGCTGATTGAAGACTGAATAATGATCCACTAATATTTTTGGTCTAGATTTAAATAATTTGTTGATTAGTAGATTTACTTGAAATGCAAGATCAGTAGATCTGCTTGAAATTCAGGATCAGTTTTGCAAAGTTATTGTTTGATTTTTTCCAATCCAAATTTTATGCTGTTTAATTTTCAATATTATCATATATCGTAATAAACAGAAAATAGACTGAAATATTTAGGATCATAGACACATTATGGTAGTTTGTTACGTATTTCAACCTGTTTTTTCCTTCTCATCCAAGGAATTCCCAAATCTTTTGACCCCTTATGACCTTTATGACCTTTATAAAAAAGTAATGGTAATTTGATATCACTTTTTAGCATGAAAAATAGTTAGTACAGAAAGCTTTTAAGAACTATGCTAGATTAAAATCAAAATAATTTGATTAATGTAAAAATAAGGCTGATTTTGAACTGACAGAACTTAAATGAAATTTGCTTGCTTATATTTCCCTTAGCTTTCATATTTTTCTAACAGATTTCATTTTTATATTAGTATCAATTTTGTATAAATGAATAATAAGTAAAAGCAACTCATTAGAGGAAAATTATTCACTCAAATACTGATATTAGATGAGAAGAATTAAAATATGAAGCAACAAATTTGATTTATTAATTATTTTTCAACTTTTATCATGTTAACAATTGTCAGAACTATGATTGAAAAATCCGTTATTAAAAATTTATTCATAAATATTACAACTACAGCTGAGAGTTCAGGCGTATAATATTACGAACGTCATTAATCTCGTCTTTTTTTTTTTGATTTTTAGAGCAGTTATTTGAATGTAAACTTTTCTATTGTGATAAAATTAACTTTATCTCTTCAAGATGGGATTAGCCCTTTTGGCTTATCTATTCCAATTAACTGAAAGTTTTATTTTTAAGAAGTTAAAAAACAATTACTTTTTGATTCATACTATTATAATTTAAGTAGTAATTTATGCTATCACAACTCATCATCAGTCTTCCACTTTTGTTAAAATACTTAAAGTATAATTTTATAAATAATTATTGATCATACATTTTTGCAATTTGTTACTAGAATACTAAAAATAATAACATAATGATATACTATAATTTATTTCATTTGGTTTCATAGCTATAACTTATTAAAAAATTTTCAATTATGAATATGTATTCACAGTTACTGCTCAAAAGTTCTGATCTATAAGAATTTGAATTCAAAATTAGTGCAAAATAAACACCCACAAAATTATCCTTTAAAAACGAGCAATAAATTAAAATTAATTTTTTAATGAATATTTTCGCATTCATACATTGTTTATGTGCTTACGACATTGATCTTAAAGATCCATTATGTTCTTGAAAAAAATTTTTTTATTGAAATGCATAGAAATACAAATTGCTAAGTAATTGATAACACATTCAAAAAAATTGATAATAAATTTTTAATTAAATAACTTTAAATATTTGCAATACATTTTAACTAATTCAAACATTAACATAGCACATAGCACATACAGTACGTAATAATACATAGTTTGAATATTTGATTCAAAAAAAAATGCTGATTTCAATATTCATGATTTTTTTTTGTATCCAATTTTTCATCACATAATTTAACTGATGCTTTATCATGTGAGAATCAGAAAAACTTTTGTAATAAAGTGAAATTTTTATGAAAATTATTGGTGAATAAAAATTTTCATGAATATTTGATTTTTTATATCAGGCAAATCAATAATTTTTGTCATCATTTACAATAAATGCCCAAATTTTTCTCAAAAAAAGTTGGATATTGAAAAGAAAATTGTGGATGAAATTGATGTTGCTAAAATTTTTAAATTTTTTTTAAATAAAACTTTTTAAAATTGTCATTTTACTATAGAAAATTTGAAGTATTATGTATCAATTTGCAGTATTTCAAAAATGCTATTTTTCGTAGATTTTATTCTTTTTCAAACAAAGATTAGCAGTGACAAATTCTTGTTCCCCAATAAGGAATAAACATTCAAAAAGTTTATTTTTTCCTCCTATGTTGGAGCAAAAAAGCGCGAAAAAACTGATGAAATGTTAAGGTGAACAGAATGATTCTGTTCCATCTAATCTTTCAAGAAATCATAGAAACTACAAGTAATTGCACGTAACTGCCTGAAAAATTTTTGATAAAAACAAAATTTGTAAAAATAATACATTCAATTTTTTGAATTTTTGAATACCAATTAGACATTTTAAGCTGCAAGAAAAATGCAATATGATTGTAAAAAATATATTAATATATTTTACTAATTTAAATGCTTTCGGCGCTTAGCCAATATAATGCTTTTAATTCTATTATTTGCAATCACTCATAATTTTTCAACAGCTGTAAAGATACTGTAAATTTAAGTACTATGAACAAATATAGGTATGACTGAATTAAACATAAGGGATTATTGCTGTTCATACTTTCTTAGTACTCGCCATTTTGTTGCTTGAATTAGCAGTATTGAGGATTATAAGGTGGTGGTGGTAAGTAATGTGTTTGATCCATATTTAAGTTTGGTCCAGCAGGTCTTGGTGGTTCTTGATGGAGTACAGGGATAAATTCTGGGGGTGTATCAAGTGTATTTTGGTATTTCTTGGTGATGTACAACTCGAACAGCTCATATATGGTGTAAATAAATGAAAGAATAAAAATACCTACAGCATATACGAATAATTCATGAACTGCATCGGCACGATCATTAGCAGAAAGTTTTTCATCCATCCAATACTACAAAAATAAATAAATTCATTAATTATATCAAAAAATTGAATTTTTTGCATAAATTTTAGTGTAATTTCAGCAAAAGTGTTTTAAATTGTTTTCTCAAGATAAATGAGTAATGAATATTCGGTTTAATTAAGATAGCTCTAACTATCATATAGTTTATATGTCAATAGTTAAGATATATTTTGCATATTTATTTTGATTAATTGACAAAAATAACAAAAGCTAATCAACACTTAATTAAATTCGAAAAATACCCGAAATTACCTCATATGAACTGATAAAAATATCATTAAGATATTGAGAAAATCCCACAAAGTATAAAACTAGAAACAAAGATATGAATGTTGTTAAGGCAGCTTGACCAGTAAGTAAAGTTATCCGTGGTATTACGTATCGAGAATTGTTACGTGAATGAGACAAGCCCAAAGTTAACAGACTTAACAACTCACATGTGAAAGAGGCCAAGAAAAACAATAATATACTGATATCGATCCATTTACTAAAAATAGCAAGAATTTATTTAATCTTAAAATATAAACATGACGTTTTACAAACAAATCACAACAATTTTACGTGTTAATTATTACTTCAATTAAACCAATTAACAAATTTTACATAAGACTACAATTTATGAAGCATACTTTCCATTAAAGATCGCTATTTTATTTGGCAAAACTGACCTAATTTAATTTACACAAACTGATTTCTTGTTATATTACAATAGAAGTAATTTTGCAACCTTTAAGGAATACAAGAAATTATTCAAAGAACACTTTGAAATCTTTTTAAATTAGAAAAAACGTGAAATAACACAATACCTTTTTGATAATAATAATAATAATAATAATAATAATAATAATAATAATAATTACGACAATAATAACTATTATTATTATTATTATTATTATTATTATAGTAGTATTAATACTAATAATGTCATTAAATATTAATAACAATATTGATATTTATATTGTTGTTAAATATTAATATCAATATTGATATAATAATATTTATGTTATTGAAGTAAAATGTTTCGCAGAGTTTTACTTTTTTGCTTCATTTTATTACTTATAAGATGAAAATAAGGTTAATAATTTGCTGATTAGCAGAAATATTATTTTTATGCAAATATTTTGTATACTAAATCAATAAATCGATACAGATAAGTAAAACATACCTATTTCTGGTTGATTTAAAGACTAATTCAGCTGATCGAAATGTAAATATGCCAACAAAACTCGTATCGATAATGCTAAGAGTCAAAGCACACGAATAAAGCGGCCAGCAGCAACAACACAGCATGTGAGTGCTGTTAACATTTGTGAATGACAATAACCTTTGTTGCTCAGCCACATTTCTCGATCGATTTTGAGGCCTAGCACTCGATGACGTCATATTATAAGTTAATTAAGAAGGCCTATGAGCAGATTTGAGCCTCAAATCATAGTGAATGAATCGAAATGCATGACAAAATTTGCTACATATAATCCTTTGTATTCAAGAATCATTACTTTGTTTCTAATTAATTATGACTGATATCACAATTAATATTATTATTATTAGTGATATTATTACTATTATTACTATTACTATTATTATTATTATTATTATTATTATTATTTATTATTATTTATTATTATTATTATTATTATTATTATT